ACAAGCAACAAAAGTCACAAAAACAATGTAGCAACTAAAACGTCGCGGCCGTCAAGTCGAGCGTCAAGTGCTTTCCTCACAACCAGCAATAACGGAGACGCAGATCAGGTGACTGAGTCCATTTTCACTCCAAAACCTGCCGCTTTCATCGATGCAGCTACTGCGGAAAGATTGGCAACTCTTGAAGCTGCGATGTACAAACAGTGCGGCGTCACGCAAGATACGGTGTCACTGGCTCGATTTAAGTATCAAAAGGAACGAAAACAGTTCGTGGCAACCCTCCACAGACAGACACAAAGAGGTACAGAGGCTGTAGACCAACCACCGAGCCAAGAGAGCAGCGAGATTGAGATTGGCACCGCGACGTCGGAAACTGCCGTGACGGAGCTTTGGAAAAAGCTTACAGGTGATTCATCGGGGCAGATCTATGCGTCCATGTTGCGAAACCTCGCAAAACTCACGGAACCTGATGTTGCCATTTAAAAAAATTAAACGGCAACTTCAACTTACCAACATAATCAAATCGAATTTATTGCGGCTGTTGGTTGTTGGTTGCAGTTTGCAATTTGCAATGAAATCCGAAAGTGGGAGGACACAGAGTCATGCCGCGGGTTATTGCCGGTGCAGGTCCACTATTTCCCCACCACTCATTTTTTCGGCGACAAACTCCCTCCCGCACGTCACATTTCGATCAGCAACCTGATTCTCTTTTTTTACTGGGTTATTGTGATGACTCCATTTAAAGTACCCCGCGCTGATTGGTCAAAATCAAAGATATCTTGTGAAGGTATCTTCATCTTTCTGTTGCTTTTCATTATCGATCTCTCTGTGTTAGACGCAAGCCGAACGGGGCTCTAGACAATCTTTCAGCAGCAGCTTTTCGGAACAACCATGTCGTGTGGCACAAGAGAGGCGCTGGTCTTTGGCATGGGGCTGATCACGGGCACAGGCACCACTCTGTACGTTGTTGCGTCATTTGCATTTCTACTTTTTGCCATCAGTTGACTGAGAAAACATTCGTTGCAACTTTCATTTGCATTTTGCCATCTTTATCTAAACCAGAACCGGCAAGGTGCGTTGTGTGTCAATAATTACTGCTAAATGATATGAGCCAGAGCTGACAAAGCGTGTTGTGGCCAGATCTTATACGGTGTGGACTCGGTTGGCCTCGATGGAGAGGTGAGGAAGTTCGAGAAGCCAATCTTCCAGACGTGGCTCATGTTTTTGGCCATGGTATTCGCACTCCCCATCCACTGGGCCTACCACTACCACGTCGAGCGGCAATGGCGCAACAACCGCAACGGCAGTAAGTGGCAAAAGTACCCATTTTTGCAACAATGTGAAACTTACCCAAAATGTTGCTGCCAAATTTTGCAAAAAGTGAAATATCGTTACCGAATTCCGCGCAAAATGTATTTCTTGCTAGCACTCCCAGCAGCTTTCGATCTACTGGCAACTTTCGTTGCCAACATCGGTCTTCTATACGTGACCGTTAGTGTTTTTCAGCTCATGAAGTGCACAGTCATCATCTTCGTGGCGCTACTGAAAGTATTTGTGCTCAAAGACCGACTACGCAGCTACATGTGGATCGGTATCGGTCTCAACATGTTAGCAGCGTTAATGGTGGGCGCTACAAGTCTCGCAGACTCCGACAGTCAAGATAACAATTCGGGCCAATCAACATCCAGCATTCGGCGTATTTATGGTGGTACTTAGCTGCGCGATCCAAGCCGTACAATACGTTCTCGAAGAGAAACTCATGGACGAAGGCGACAGTGCACCGCCCCTA